CCAAACCACACCCACTGCCTGGAGTCCATTCTGACCCACAGCGCCCCTAGAGGACAGAGTGGAACTGCCCACAGGGTCTCCAAGGCTGGCAGTCTTCACAGAAGCAGAGCGGCAGATGAGTTCAAACCCCTAACCTTTTGGTTAGCAGCCCAATGCTTTAACCACTGTGCCACCATCCAATGACTGGTTTTGGAAGACACAGAGGCTCAGACAGGAGACATGTGACCATGGAGGCGGAGGCAGGAGTGAAGTGCCCACAAGCTGAGAACTGCTAGGACAGAGCTATTGGAGGATCCCCCAGAGCCTTCAGAGCCAACACCAGGGACACCCTGACCTTGGGCTCCGGCCTCCAGGGCCGTGAGAGAATACATTTCTGTTGTTCAAAGGCCCCCCCATCTGAGTGCTTGTGTGGCTGCCTCAGGGCTCTCAGACACTTCACACACGTGAGTCGCTGGGGGTCTTCACGCCACAGCAGGCCTGGTCCCCTCTCCTCTCCCTGCAGCTCTCACTTCTTGTCCTGAGGCCTCTTGGTGCAAGCTTAGGGTCCTCAGGGGCAGGCACCCCACTGACACCCTCAGAGCCCTTTCCTCTACCTCCTACAGGACTGCTGACAAATGCTGGGGCCATGATTTCAGGGTGTCCATGCCAGGGCAGCCCCAGGCATTGAGCCTCCCGGGACCTTCGGCGCCTGGGGCTGCTCTGGGGCATGGTGGCCTCAGCCAGAGGGGTAACTGGGTCCCCAGATGATCCCAGATTGCGGGTTAATCGGTTCATGGGGTCCCACTGCTGAAGACGTCCCCCACTCCACTGAACCACATCCCACGCTCCCTCGTGGAGCCAGTGCCGGAAACGGAAAAAGGAGGGCAGGGCCCGCCCACCTGCGGCCATATTTCTAGCACCTTCTGGGGTTGCAAGCCCCCAGGCAAGGTCTGAGAGCCAGAGGTGGGCTGACAAGGGCTTCCCTCAGGCCTTCTCTCTGCCAACCCCCGCCCAGGCTGACGGAGTGGGACAGGGCTCCCCGGGAAGCAGAGTGGTCATCAGGCGGGGCCTGGTCGGCTCCCTCTCCCCCAGCAAGCCTGGCGGCGGACCGGGTTGAGAGCTGCCTCAGGTGCTGGCTGAGCCAGGGAGGCAGCGCCCCGGGGATGATCATGCACCAGTGAAGGGGACTAAGTGCCCGGAAGTGGGCGTTGCTGTGCGCCCCGCAGGGAAGCTCCGGGCGTTTTCCTGGCCCCTGACTTGTGCGTGTAGGCGAAGGGCCCTTTCCGGGGAGATGAGGAGGCCGAGGTGGAGGGGCTCAGCTCATCCTTGGGGAGCCGGGCCTCGGGGCGCCGGTGGCGCGGGCGAAGGGGCTCACACGCATCCTGGGGGAGGCGGGCCTGGGGATGCCGGTAGCGCGAGCGGAGGGGGCACCGGGCCTGGGCGCGCCGGTGGCGCAGGTGGGCAGGCGCCGGGTGGAAGGGGCGCCGGTCGGGGCCAGGCGGCGGCCTACTTACCCCTCGTGGCCCTTGCAGAGGAAGAAGAGCGCGCGCCAGGCGTGCGCGGCGGCCAGCAGCAGGGACAGCAGGCTGACGAGCAGGCTGAAGCGGCAGGCGGCCGGCGGGCCCCACTCGTGCACCGTGAAGCGCTCGCGCTCCTGCACCGTCAGGTTGGCGCTCAGCCACATGCCCTCGGTGAAGAGCAGGCAGCGGCCGCGGAAGTCGTGCCCGTTCTCGGACAGCGGCACCACCACCACGAAGCTGAACAGGAAGGCCAAGAAGTAGCAGACGCACTGCGCCAAGAGGAAGTTGTTGAGCGCCATGGCCGGCCGGGCGGGGAAGGCAGGACCGCG